AGCAAGTGATGCAATGTTAATTTCTCCAAATCTGTTAAAATGAAGAAACAAACTCATCTATATCTTGGATGGCCTGGCTGAGGGTGAGTAAAATTTCATCCAATTTTCATTTATGGGTGACATACTACTTTAAGACTTTGTAAAACCTTACCACATTGTGTAACGAAAGATACATGGCCTATATCAACACAAGCATGATACTGAAAACATAAAAATTAACTGAAGCACAAGAAAAACGACCTAAGAAGTGCAACATCCAGCACTAAAAGCAAACATGATGACTTCATTACTCACTTCAAATGGGAAATTGACAAAGAAACACAGTTCTAGGACTCTTTTCCTGGCAATGATAACCAGACCTCTATAATGGAGTAGACACATCAGATTTTTCTGCGGCACATAAATATCATTCACTTCTAAACCTCCATTTGAGAGTCACATAGTGCAATCAAATGACAAAGCCGTCGAGATGAAGTCATGACACAATAAATCAAGTGAAAATCAAGTGAATTTTGAGCTTGTACAGGCACACAAAAGGAAAAGGAGCAAAACACTGATAGGGAGTAATAATCCCTTCTTTTCCCGATTACATAAACTTAATAGGATTCGGAATGCAATCACTGTCTAACCTAATGCTTTTAGAGACACAGAGGAGGATCTCATCAGATTGCGTCTGGACAGAATGATTCCCTTGTCTCCACTTTTCTGTTCGCTCATCTTGCACATTTCCTGACCCCTTCGTCTTCACACGCCCCCTTCGTATTTACAGACTGATCGGAGACAATAAAGAGACGGACGAATGTTTACTTTGTCATGAAATGAGAAATGTTCTTCCATTATATCATACAAGATCATTGGCTCCTGCTTGCACAATTCTGCTTTTTCTGTCTCGCTCCCAGCATTCATTTGCACTTTGTCAAGGAAACAGACATTTTATGTCAAGGCACTAGGGAATTACATTCATAAAGAAAATGCATGGTAGATTATCTTCAATTATGAATACTGCCAGAACAGGAGTATAAAAAAATAGATATTCAGACCATCCTCTGCGGTGAAGAAATTAAATTAATTTATTGCTATGTTCACAGAGCCAAATGTGCTCAGACTTCAAATATAACATCCATAGGGCATAAACTTATCATTTATTTCAGAATTGTGTAATGTTAATGCTAAACTGAAATGTGGTTCTTAGTACTTATTGATTAGCTTTGAGGTTGGATACGCTAGTGTACTACTAAGGGGTTGACCAAATTATTTGTATACACAATACACAAGTCTTTCTCTTCAGGAAACGGACCAAAAATATTGAATTTCCAAGCAAATAAAAAATTTGTCAAACAAAATGCTCTATAGCAAGGCTCTTTAACCAGGGGTCCACAGCGGTAATCCAGGGCCAATTAATGTAAGATCACAAATCATTTTTTGTTAAAAAATTAAAACATGGGTAAAAAAAACATCACAAAAGTCAATTTTAAATATAAGCACCTTGAAACGAAAGCAAGAGCACCCTCAGTTGATACGGTAAATGATATAATAATATTATTGGCGAAACAGATTTAACAAACGCTCCATTGTGTTTTTGAGTTTGAGCTTTGGAGAAGGTGAAATGTTACTGTTGACAGCGAGTTTCTGCAGCAGTGAGAAATGTAGTCAATCACAGACATGTTTGTTGATTTCTTGAACACAATGGCCAATCAGAGGTGTTTTTGTTCAGTGCTGAGTTTTGCTCACTCTCGCGAATCGACTCTTCAACAAACAACTATACGAAGTAAGAGATTCATTATGCAGTGTCGACAACTAGATTAATTTTAATGGAACGTTGTGATATTGCAAACTGAGATGAGTGACAGCTTTTTAGTGATTGTAAAGTGAGCAGTCTTTCACACTTTCGAGACTATAGCTATAATCTTTCGAATAAAAGTATTGTTTTTCATGCTGCTAAGAGGACTGGTGTAAGGTTTAATGGTAGAGACTCACATGATGTAATTACTTACAATTGTGCAAATTATGTGTGCAAATCAATGGTAGACAAAAACGGAACATATAAGTTTTTATACTGTAAACAAGATAATCATATATCCTAGGAGGTTGGAGGCAGCGATGCCGGTGGCACTCAACTTTTTGCGGCCGGTAACGTTAGTATGGATCAGTGTTAATTGTTAATGATCATCATTGGCAAATTACATAAATTACGGTTCCTAAAAAAAATTTGCTGAGATTATCTCGGTACCGTATCTACTTGGTTTGCAGCTGTTTCTCCAGTATGACGATTTAATCGGTCTTTACTGCACGGCTCTGTACACTTTTAGTTCACTGCTCAATGCAACGATACCTTCTAAATGGCGCCTCGGTGACGTCACACATAATAAACGCACGTGACTGACAAAGACCGATTACACGCTGCAAAGGTTTGGAAGTGACATCTACATATAAATGCGTGATTCACTCTGAAGCTGCAGTGGACATCGTGATCTTAGCACGGGACAAAAATACATATGGCATGTCAAAATAGATACGCGCAATGTAAATGCATGCTAATAGATTACTAGAAAAATATCTATATCAATATATTTTTTAAATTCCATTCCAAGTATTTGTAAAAGTAATGTCTTGTAAATAATCTTAAATGTACAGTACATTGCTATTCTTGTTATGGTGGAGCCGTTGCTTACACATTACATCTGCACTTTATTAGAAAACTCTCACTAATTTCAAATACACTGTAAAACATGACCGTGATTTTAACGGTAAAAGACTGTAAAAATGCTACAGTAAAAACCTGTTAAATGGTTAACGGTAAATTCCCCTACTATATACGGTGAAAAACTGTATTGGATATTACATGTATTGGACATTAATTTTACGGTAGTATACCGTTTTTGGAAGTGAAAGAGACCGTATAATTTACAGTGAATAACCGTAAATTGACATTCCCAGAATTCCCTGCGTTACATTTCAAATGTGATGTTTTTTTGTTGAAATAACTGTTTCTTCTTAGTTTTTTCTTATCAGTTTTGTATATTAGGGTTGTGTGTTACACCTAATGTTGTTAAATGAATGTTTATTGCATTATTTCAGTTTCATGTGTTTTACCATGATGGTGTTTAGAGTTTGTGTGAATGACACTGTGAACCTTCTATATATGTTATTATTTAAAAGCTGCTTGTGATGGGCTTTGGTTCATCATGTGACTTTCTCATCACCTCCTGCATTTGGTGGTTATCAGTTTATTACAAAGGTGCAAAACAGATTTCAGTACTTCAATAGGTTGGTATATTAACATTATATCAGTTAATGAAATTACGGTATTTAACTGTAAATTTAAGTTAAAACTGTAAAACCTAAAAAGTTGCTACCGTATGTTTTTACGGTAAAATTCCAGCAACCACAGCTGCCGGTTTTTTACCGTAAATTAAAAAAAAAAATTTTTTTACAGTGTTCAGTGATTTGATTCGTAATTTTCCATCTCACAGTAAAATTAAAATGTTAAGTTCTAGTAAACTTGAAGCTAAAGCTCAGGTAAATAACTAGTAAAAAAATGTATGACTCTGAAAATCCATTAAAATCATTTACAACAACGTTATACAACTAATGAATTGTGATTTTTATCTCAACATGTTTGTTATGATGCATAAATCTCAATTTCAACAATAAAAAGTGAGAAAAATATCACACTCCAATTAGAGTGAAAAATTTGAAAACAAAAATACTGAAACAAACAAAAATATTTGTAAAAAATTAATTAAAAAAATTAATAAATACTATAATAGCATATAATTAATATTAAAATAACACTGAGACTAACAGTTAACAAGCTAACAAGAGTTTTTAAAAACATGAAAAAGAAATCGCCATTAATCTCAATGGCAGTAGCCGCATCTACCTACATCTGACTAGCAAAGCAAGCAGCAAATTAGTCCTGCTAACTTCCTGTTTCATCAGGAAACGTGTCAACACTAGAAAGATAAACTGCTCGTAAAGCCAATTCATGAGGCC